TTAAAGTGGTATACATATAACAATAAATTAAATTTTCCGGAAATTTAATAATTCGAAAAGTAAATTTCAGTTAATTGAAACTGTTTGTTACTTAATACATGTACAGTTCTCCCCGGTTAAATGCACCAGGAATGGGTGAAACGGGTAAATCAATTATAAAAATCCTGTTCAATTAAACAATTAGTGCAATAAAAAAAAGTTCTTAATAGGACAGTTTATGCATTAAAACGAATAACTACAGATAAACAATCGTTCCATCTGTGATGCACAAAAATCAATAATGAACACTAATGTTCTTTTATACTGATCTGATAATATTACCAAAAAAGGGGTTCTTTAAGCGGATATTTCAATTATAGGCGGTGCAATTAAACGATGATGTGCTTTTAATCTAATAGTGTAATATCTAAGCAGGTGTACAGTGGAATCTCTAAGTTGAATTACACGGATTGGAATATAATATGGATCTTTTGTAAAATAGGCTGCTTTTACATTATACATATTAAGATAGGACGCAACATATTGTAACTGTCAAATAAATTGTTTTATAAATAAGGATCTACATTGTACGAAAAGAGTTTTTATATCAAGAGTCTACAGTATTTCTAAATTTTTGCCATATTGTCAAGTATAGATAAAAGTTTAATAATAATAGTAGAAAATGAGTGAAGTATTTTTGCTATAGAACTTTTTTTTAAATTCAAATGATTTTGACTTTTTTTCATTTTAATAAGTTTTTTTGCATTCATTACGAGTATGAGATTAAGTTCTTTAACGGCGACATTTGAATAGAAAAATAAATTAATAAAAAAGAATTTGATAAAAATGATAAGGAATATAGAAAAAATTAGTTGATCGTGTTAATTCGGTGGTATCCGTAGAAATGATTCAATGAGTTCACTGTAAGTTCATGCTACGCAACCATTTCCTATTTTTGTGCATGATTGCATTAACTTACTCCGTACTCCTAATTAACTGCTTTGAATTGATGAATTTATTTTTGAATTTCTATTGTAGATATTTGAGCTATACTATTGCATATAATCGAGTTCGAATCGAGTTAATAGATTTTGAGGTAAAAATTTTAAATTTATAAAAAATTTAATAAATTAAGCTCAGTATAGTTGATTAAACATGGTTTCATAGGCCAAGAATTCAACAAGGAGTAAAAATGTTTTAACTATACAAATCAATATTTATTTCCAATTAAACCAATTGTTATAAACGAAATTATAAGTTCACAATTCTGCAAACATCCAATTTTTGCGGATATAAATATGACAACATAAGAACTTTTTAAGGTGATTTTTGTGAAGTATGAATTACGGAAGCATTTAATTCTCTAATAAGGAAAGTTTTAAGAACTTTTTTGTCATTTTTCTTGAGAAAATTAGGCAATCACTCAGAGTGATCAAAACGTTGCATGTTTTAATATAAGAGATACAAAAATTATTTAAATAAATTTTTCCTATTCATTTCAATGAACAAAAGAGAGAGATGATTTAGATTTTTGTTATTGCTTTTTCTTTTCAAATAAAATAACTTATCTAACAAATCTATTATAACATTTAACAAAGCATAAACTATGACTCAAATATGAGCATTTACAAAAACGAGAGCAAATATTAAATGGATTAATTTGGACCAAATTAAATGAATTAAATCGGTCAATTGTTCCAATGTGAAAACGTGGGTGAATTTCCGGGTTCTGCAAAAAAATTCTACATTAATTTATTGATGTGGGAATTCAGTATTCAATTCAAAACAAAATTTCAATTGTCGTGCAAGAATTTGGTCCAGCACACTAATTTATGTTTCCAAAAATTATTCTAGAGGTTTATGATGGCTCACGGCTTGCGAACGTCAGGAGGAGAAGACCGTAGCCCACCTTTTTTGCTCATTTCCGGCTTTGGCCAGGAGGAGACAGAAATTCCTCGGATCATTTTTCTTTTTGCGGACTACGGATCTGGCAAATGTAAATGCTAGAGGCCTTAACCGGTTTCTGAAAAGCTCGGGCTGGTTCTCGTGAGGGCGGGGGATTTTGTGGATCCGGCGGTATCACAACGAGCCTTACTGGCCTATGTGTACCTTGCGGTAGCCGCGTCGACCTAACCTAACCCAACCTATGATGGTTCACAAATAAAAATCAATTTTGCAGCTTCCAAATTCTCAAATGAAATATGTATGAACGCATGCCTTTATAATTTCCGTTATGTCTGCTTACACACTTTGTACTACTTTCTAATACACATTTAAAAATTATTTCTGGCGTTACACTTATTGTGTTATAGTTAAATATTTATAGTGTTATATTGAAAAAAGTGTAGTAGTATGTTAAAAAACTCTATGTTATTGTGACTAGGTATCATATCGTGTACGTCTAATGTTTTCTTTTGAACTCTTGCATATTCATTCAAAACTACTGATACATGCATACAATATCTGATTAGATCAATAATCTTTCCTTTTAGTTTTCCATTTCTTTTAAAATTAAGTTATGTGTGATTTGAAAATATCAGACAAACATGTGAAAATAGCATTTTAAATAGAAACAAAAATTTGAAAAATTAAAATAGAAAATTTCCTCAAGGGTTTTTGACGGCAAGTGTTACAAATTTAACAGTCTTGAAAATTAGACTTTAAATTTGAAAAAAAAGTTTTTAAACTTTTGAATTAGGCAAACATTTAAAGATTTATTACGTTTGTTACCTTCCCAAAAAAGAAAAACAAAAAAAATTTTCTTTTTTCTCTAATAATCACAAATATTTCCTTGAGGGTATAAATTTCTATATCGCAATAAGATAAGAGAATTATAAATTTCTCTATTTAAAATTCAATGAAAATTTAAAATGAATATAAAAATTTCATAAAACTTTATTATTGATAGCGCTGTGCAAATCAAATTTCATAAAAATATGACGGGTAATTGATCAAAACCAAACAAATGCTTAAATGTATACGTGTGTGTATATATAAATATGTATATTTAAATTCTATTTGTAATTTAAATTAAATGGAAAAACTTTGACTTCCTATGGTGGTCCAATTTATGATTTCCAAAAGACATAAGTTTTAAGAATATCTATTTCAAAAGTTGAGTTGACTAGGATTATGTGCTTTATATTTACCACCAGTTAAGTATTTTTTTATTAAAATTTTATATAAATCTTATTCAATTCAATAAATTCAAAATTTTATCTTATTTCTATGTCTGCATTAATTTATTTCTTGGAATTGCAGATAAAATTCTTGAATGCATTTTAAATTTATGGAGCGAAATCACAAATTGGTTGTTGTAAATATTTTGCAGCAACACAATTTGTATCGTATGTTGACCGATATCATATTCAATTAGTCATACAACATACATGATTATATAATAGCATTTATGACCTCCTTCTTACAAAGTACCACCTTTGTCTGTAGCTGAAGCGCTTTTTTAAGAACGGGAAAAGCTAGATATTCTAATAAAAATAACGAAAGATTAAGTTTCACTTTTTATTAACATATTTGCGTATTCTGATTTCAAATATTAAAATTACTTGCTTTTATCTTCCCACATTATTTCTTAATATGCGGCCTTAAAGCGGAGCGTTTTATGTAAAATTGAACACCTACAAAACAAGAATCGATGATTTTACGCGAATTGTGCAATTCAGTTTTCAAAACAGTTTTCATTATACACACCATTATAAAACTATTAAAATTATATTTATAATATAATTTTAATCTCTATAATAAGTTTTTGTGAAAATCTAAAATAAAAATTAAAAGTTAAAATTATTTCTGTGAAATCAATCAAAAAAAAAAATGTTTGATTCCTTCTTATACGCACATACTTAGTTGATATTAGATTCTTGGTAAAGCGTGATTTTAAATTTCAAAATATCCAAACAGCAATGTGTTTTGTTTTTTGTTCTCCAGTTTTTGCCATTTCCTTTAAGAGCGTTTGATTATAGTGCGAACTAAGAATATCGATTTTTCGATTCTAAGAAATTATTTATGAGTGGAATATTTTTCATATGTTTGTATTAGTCATCTTTATATTTGAATGACTCATTTTGAAATTTCGTTTTTTATCAAATTTACATGTACATATGTATTTAAATATTTATGTATTTATTATACATATGCATATAGAATGGAAATCATAAGGCAACTATTTAATTAAGGAGAATTAAGTTGAAATTACATACATACACACATACATATGTTTTTAATTTTAAAACGAGACTGTAAGAGGGCAATCATGATCTTAAAACAATTTTTTTCTATTTACAGAATATGTGCATTAATTGTATGTTATATCAATTAAATCAGAAATATTTATGAGTGTATATTGTGTCTACTTAGGTACAAAACACCTTTATTTTAAACATTCAAGTTAAAACTTTTATATTTGAGCTTAAAATAATAATGGGGAAAGTCCCCATTTAAAAAATACTCCAATAACATTTAAATTTAAAAAGTGCACATACACATGAAAATTCTTGCCGGATGTTTTAATTTTTTAATCTCATATTCAATTTCTAAATAAAGTTGCTTACTTAAAAATTAAATATAAAAGTTATACTTATTATAGTAGTTGTTACTAGTAAGTTATTTTGTACATTTAAAGTTTAGATTTTAGGCATAATATAGAATAACATTGTGAAAATTTTGATTATTTTGGTTAAAATCAAACGTGGTGTTTGTACATAATATTTTGTTGATTTGCTCCAACGAGTTTCCTTATCAAATTAATTAAATTAAAAAAAAAACACGGTTCTTTTATAGATATTTGATTTCGAATAATAGTAGCCTTTGGTTATCACTTTATTGAATAAATTAAACCTTGTGACGAAAAGAAAAGCCTCATCTCAAAATATGAGTTTATTCCTAAAATTGTGAATAAATAAATAAAATTTTTGTAAAGTGTACATTTTTTTAATTTGAATTGAGAACTTTTTAATTTAAGATCATTTATATGCAAATGTTTTCCTTAACCAATAAAAAACTAGATAGATAATTTGTTGAAACAATCAAAATGTCCAATTATTGTCGGTGGCACAAATTATTATATTGAAAGTATACTATGGGATATTTTAGTGAATGCTTCAGAAGATTCATACATAGAAAGTACAGTGGAATCAAATGAGGTAATTAAAATTTAATTTAGATTTAATCTTGCTTTAATTTATTAATTAATTTCATTTGTTTGTTTGCTTATCGCCAACAAAAATTTTAAAATTCATTTTATTTTTCCTATTTTTGTATGCAATTGCAACGTTATTCACTATAGAAATGGCTAACTACGACATCTGAGGAGCTTCACGAAGAATTAAAAAAGGTAGATCCAAAATATGCACAAATGATTCATCCAAATAATAAAAGAAAAATTGTTCGGTAAGTTTATTCACAATTTATTAATATTTTTCTACTCTTTGAATTTATTTGTGTAACCTTTACCATTGCTATTTATGGAATTTGAACTCATAACGAAAATTTGAAACTCATAATTTTGTATTGAACTCCCTATAGTCATTAAAGTTTCGTTCAAAATTATAGAAAACCTGTTTTGTGTATAACGCCTTAAATAAGTGACGTGTTACTTTTCTATCATATTGTGATTTCAGTAGATTAAATTTCATTTATATTATTAAAATTCAATTGTCAAAAACCAGTTCTTGTGAATTGTCAATAACTGACCACATATTCTATAGGGTAGAATAGCCTTAATGTAGTTTTTAGTGAAACTACGCAATGGTTTGACGTAAGCTTTACATGTACTTGAACAATATTTGTCAGCATTGGACGCATAATTGAGAACCGCAAATTTAGTGAAGCATTGTTGGATAACAAATGGGTATCTAAAAATCATAAAATTTCATGTAACTATGACTACGATAGTAATCACTTTTGAGACAAATTTGAATTTCAATATAAAAATTGTAGATTTCACATTTTTTTCGCATTTCGTTTGAACAACATTTTTTTATATTGTTTTAATGTTAAACAAATAAAAAATTATTTTTCATAACTTTTCTAAGATTAAATTCAGACATTCGTATGCTAGTCGGCAACTATTCACCTCTGATTTCTTTCTGTTTTGACAAAACCAATAACAACACAACAAGTATAACGTAATCCGATTTTTAGTTTAAACTGTTTTGTTTGATAGATGGCATTTCCAAAATTTCGCAAATTTCAAATAATTTGATTGATTTTAAAAATGTTTTAATAATGTAAATATACGAAATTTTTATTATACATACTTGAAGTTTTTGCCTCCCTCTGAGCTTCACTTAAATTTAAACTAAAATTTTTTGTATATGAAAAGATAAATAAAAAATCTGATGTGGTCATCAAATAACCGACCCCAATGTGTATTGTCTAGTTAAGTAAAAGTGTTACAGAATATTATAAAAATGTCTGTTAAGTACTTCTTTTCAATTTTTAGGACATTAATAAGCTTTTAGTTAACATACCTAGAAAAATGTAAATTTGGCTCATAGTAGAGTTTCGCTTTGTGCTACCCGAATTCCCATAAATGCTCGCCCGTTGGTTTGGGCAACAAATAGGACCCAAATATCAAATTTCAAAAAATTCCAACAATTCGTTCCATAGATAAAAAATGTGAAATCGGCCCGCAGATCAGTTTTACCAAAATCCTGATCTTTCCAAAAAATTTATATGTTCATTGTTATTACAAAGAAATCAAATATTAAATTTTAATGAAATCGGTTGATTATTTCTCTTTATATACGCAAAAATGTAAATTTGGCCCATAGTAAACGTCCTGTAGCTGATACCTGATTTCTTCCAAAAGTTAGAAGGTTTCGCGGACGTTGAGCGAAGCTTATATATGGAATTTCAAGTAAATCGGTTGAATATTTTCTTTAAGATGGTCAAAAATGTGAAACAGGCCCGCTAAAAAGTGCAGTTCCCGAGGCCTGACATATCCCAAAAGTTGATCAATCCGTGCTATGGTCGAAATAAACTTACATATAAAATTTCATTAAAATCGGTTTAGCTGAACTTGAGATACATGCGTGCATACACAGACCGACAGACCGACAGGTTGCTAAAAGTAGTTTATTTACACTTCCCTACCGTGGAAAAGTGCATTCCAACCGAAAATTCGATATGCAAAATTTATTGCTATCACAACCTACCTATTGTATACACAATACGGTCGGTAAAAATGCGAAAACTAAAATATTGAAATTTTATATTGTTACTTTTATATTTTTGGTCCAAATTATCACAAAAACTGTTATATTTATAATCTTATATACAAAATCTTATTACAGGTAATTAAATATATAATTACGTTCGTAATGTTATTAATAAAACAAATTCTCTCTCACCTTTAATAATAAAAATTTGTGTTTTAATGTATTTTATATGTTTGGGAGATGTGAGAAGGTCAAAAGAATAAAGTGCAAATCTTCCATATACATACGAGTACATATTATGTGGATTTTAATACGAATATTATAATTAAAAGAGAGAAAATATTATTACCACTTTCACAAATGATTAAAATCACGGTCAATTACCTCTTTTATTTAATTTATGTTTGATTCAAACAGTTTGAGTCATTTTTACACGAGTACCTTTACATATGTATCTACACATAAATATGTACTGTTATGCCTATACACAAATTGGTGTTTGATATGATAACCATTTTATTATAGTAAAATGTATGTAGAATGTGTGTTTTAACAAAATTATCATGTATGTACACATAAAGAAACAAGGTAACATTATCGCGAAAAAAATGAAGTTTTTTTTTTTTGATTAGAAAAAAAAAATCAAATTTGTATCAACCGGAGAGTTCAAATGATTTCATTAACCCTCCATTCTTTTTTTTTATACAAAAAAAAAAAAATACTTCAAAATTCGCACTTATCATTCATTTTATATTTTTATTTTATTTTATTTTAAAATTATAACAATTTTGACACAATTTTTTTGTTATTATTTTTTTTTTTCAAATTCATTAGTAATAGATAATGAATGATTGAATATTTACGGACGTAAAGTTTGTTTAAACAGTAAAAATTTCGTACGTAAAAATTAAAAAGTGTAAAAAGATTTTTTTTTATTATAGGAAGCGAGAAATATTGAAATAGTTTGATTAGATATTTACGTTAAAATTTCTAGGAAAAATTTATAATTTTGAATGTATTTTTACAATAGCAGTAGTTGAATTTATTGAAAAATTGCTAAAATTGTAGTTTGCAGTATATCAATTAATTTTATATGTTTGAACACATGGCTCTCCATAAATTGTTATCAATGGAAAAATTGGATAAGTTTCTTAACAAAATAGATGAGAACGAGTTCTCTTTCTAAATATTTTGTTGCTTATTTTTAAATTTAATGACCTTAAAAGTTTTTTTCGCGAAATTTAAATCCCCAAAGGGTTAATTTCATATATTTAAAGATAATCTTGCTCAAGATAGTCACGAATTTTATAAAAATATTTAATGTACATCAAGTTCATTTTCCTTTCACAAATGAAATCACAATCTTACAATAGCTCTTCAGATTATTGTCCTGAGTTTTGATCTCCACAAATTTTTTAAAGCAAAATGAACTTCTTTACAAACTGTGAGACTTTTTAAACTTTTAGATGCAAAATACACATTGAAAAAGTGTTTTCACTGAATAAACTCAATTAAGTAAGGAATACTTGAGTGAAAAAGATATCTAATAGCCCTGATAAGTAAATTATATTTATTTTGATTGTAAAATTGGAAATTAGTTAATTTTAAAATTATTTTTCAAACTTAGTTTTGCTTGAAAAAATATTTAAAATTTTGCAAAATAATCTGTATTCCGAGTATTCGAAAAATTCTGGATGCTTTTAGTAAAACTTCGACGATAAGTATTATCGGTATGTGTTAGTTAATATTTAAACTGGCATAATGCTAAATTTTGAGTTTTTGCATTAAATTTGGGTATAAATTGGCAGTAGGCTGTTAATTTTATTGATACTTGTGACAGTGCTATATGTCATTGTATTTGGTTTTGGAAAATATAAGTTAAAAACTGTTTTAAAACATTGCTTTTGAAATGCTACCATAATTTTTTATAGACCACCTCTGAAACGCTGCTATCTTTTTTTTTTTTGTAAAAAATACAATATTGTATTTTTAATTCCCTCTAACGCATACACAAATTCCTTAATAAATGCCGAAACTATAAAATCACTTGTATTATATTCCTTACATGGAAACTGTACAGTTCCAATTTAGTGAATGTGTTATTAAGATTGTATAATAATTAATATTATTATAATTTATTAGCTAATATTTGATTTTTGTTTTAATTATCTTTTAATTATGATAAGATTAATCAAGTGATTTGAAGATTTATTAAGGAATTCCTACACTTCATTTTATCTAAACATATGAAAGAATGAAATTTCTTTTGAATTGAGTTCCAATTTAATATACATACATGTTATGAACATTTTGCTGGCTCATTTTAAAATCTATATGATTTATTCATATACATACATCATACCACCTATGCAGGTACTTAAGAAATAATATTCCTTTGGATTTTACATTATAAATAGACGAATTTTATTATCTGCTGGCAGAAGTAATAATTGGCTTAAGTATGTTTGATTAGAATTAGATACACGTGCCTCGTGCATGTCGTATACTATACGTGTAAATTTTATTAAAAATTTTTAGAAAAAATCTAATTTCTAGAATTATTGTCAATTTTTAGATTACAATTTTAATTATTTTCAAGTCAATTTTGCCTATATAACTGCCTAAATTCATGACCGTACTTGAATTTAAATCTGTAAAGTGATAACCAAAAATAATCATGTCGGGACGTACATTAAAAATGTTCTTTGTATTAGAACTAAATAAGTTCTACTAAAATTAGTGCACTAGAAGTATAGATGAGTTCGCTAAGTTGTATAAAGACACTTCAATTCCATTTCATTCGTAGTGAGAAGTACTTTGCAGTAAAAAGTAAATTGAAACATAATGTTATCTGACTGTACAGTTGATCTAAAATTTTAAACAATGTGAACGTGTCTATTTCGGTCAGAATGAGAAAATTACATGCATATGTCAAAATTTACCTTTTCAATTAACTTGGACGTAATTTTGATACTTAATTTTTTTAAAGACTTAAAACTTACGTACTTTTCTTTGAAATAATATCTTTACTATAGAAAATTCTGTGCTTTTCTTGTACTGAACAACAGGACAGATCAATGCATTTAATTTGTTTACTTTATAATTTTGCAAAGTAATTAATTAGTTATTCAGAAGAAGCCATTGTGATGCGAAACTGATTGAATCGGGATACCAACACAATCAAGTAAAAATGTAAATTTCCTGATTAAATTAACGCTTGTTCTTTAA